TTTATTTTGAATGGATAATTATTGATTGCGATACTTTTGCAATTTATTTAAGGCAAGGAAAAACGACCGCAAAAAAACGTCAATAAGTCACGAAAGGAAGCACTTTTCTTCCTTGGCGGTATGATCAATTAACTCGATAACCATTCTGAATCATAGCTTTCTCAATAAAAGTACATTGCTCTTCCAATAGTTGTTTTGAAGAACAAATGGAGAGAGCTCGAAATGTCAATGTTTTTACTAAGCCAATTTTATATTTCTTTGCCTGACATGAAGTCCAGTGAAGAAGCTGACCGGTGTGAGTCTTTTCTTGAATATAGTCGTTTCAAATTTTGTTCGTTCTTTAATAACTTTCACATCTAAAAATGGTAATTCAAAATTGTTTTCAATTTCGTATGTGAATTTCAGATTTGGATGTAGTTTATTCATAAATTCAACTAGATCTTGAGCATCTTCTTCTTTTCCACCTAATAGAATGAAAGTATCATCAACATATCTCTAGTATAATTTGAAATTCTATTAAGTGGAAAAGAAGAGGATGCTCAAGATCTAGTTGAATTTATGAATAAACTACATCCAAATCTGAAATTCACATACGAAATTGAAGAGAGAGCCGGGACTTGCATAATTTTGTAGAGTAACATCCGGACTACATCACTCGCATCGTTGCAGTCCCAAACATTACAGACGAGCTCAAGTGGAATACAGTGTCTCGTCTTGCATTGAAAGTGATCTGGTGGACATTTCCACTCGTTACATAGTTCAGAACTTTCATCGAATCCATGTTCTACATGCCAAAATGCATCACAATATTCACGAAAATTAATTTTGTTAGTCGGTAGTTGCCGCCGCTCGACTATCTTATTACTAGAATAATTTGCAGATGATGAGGATTGTTCAACGTAAGTTCTCAGTGGTTTACACTGCACTGAATGACTACTGTCAGCACAAAAGTAATTTAACTGAATACTTTTATCTTCGACGTATTCATCATGATTACTTAAATGACAATCAGTATTGCCGTTGCCTAACATTTGCGGTACAAAACAACACTGAAAACGAGATCCTGATGAACATTGCATTTTTTCGTCTTCACCACCAACTGAACAATCGAGAAGTCCATCACGAAAGCAATAACGTGAAATACATTTATGTGAATGAAGGCAACGATATGATTGATAAAAGTGTGGACTATCATTCCAACAATGTAGGTCGTATTGTGCTGGGTGTTTTAGATTCGTTTCTATACAAATGCAATTTTCATCACCACACACGAATGAATCGATATCGTACAGATTTTGTAAATATATTGAATACTCAATTACATAAGCTTTCGTACATCGAAAACCAAGGCATTTTAGACTATGTACAAATTCAAAGCCCCAAACTAGAGGCGGATGACTAACTGAGTAAGAATATCGTAGATTTAGATATGGCTTATATAACGGTTTACGTGGATAAGTCATAACGTCGGCTTTTATGCAGTATCGGTTAAAAAAATCTAATAAACAATTGGTATTTTCACACGAACATTTTGTATGTACCTTCGCTGATGTGGCCAGAGCGCATTTTGTATAAAATAAACATACTTCTTCTTTTGTTATCTCAACAGGGAACCGTCTACCACCGTAGCAAACACTGACCAATATCGTCCACAGTCCACATTGATTTAGTATCATCTTTTTCACATACATAATTTTTGTCCCTGTAACTTGCACAATAATCAGTTGTCTTTGTGTGTGGATTCTGTTTAGACGTCACTTTATCATATCGAGATCGTTCGTCAATGAATTTTCCGTCTGAGCAAGAGAAATATCGACTGTGAAACAGTGCTTCATCACAATCAGAATGATCTGGTTGAAATGGACACGCCCTGGATCTTTGTATGTCGTTACTAAACTGTTCATCTCGTGCCATCCATGCAATCACGATCGCCTTATAGAAGAGATATCATTCGCTGTAGATGATGCGCATTTCTAATGAAAACCTTACTATATCATTTCCAACCGTTTCGACGTTTAACAACTCGCATAATATAGATGCGGACTCTACATATAAATTCTCTATGCGTTTCTTTCGTTGAAGCAGTCGTACATTCTTAGCACGACAGACGTCGTTTTCGATTATCAGTTAGTTAATATCAGTTCATTAACTTATCCCAACAGACAACAGGATACTCACCATCAAGCCAGGATATTCTGTCAATACATTGTCCATTGGAACACCGATATTCGTCTGGCTGACATTCATTAAATTCTGGCTGTTCACAATGACCTTCATCAGTGCCATCGACGCATTGCTGTTTACCTAAAACAGAAATATTAAGTTTCAATAAAAGTAGGTGACGAAAATAGAATTTATTAGACCAACCATCGCAAATATTTCTCCAGTCAAGACACAGTAGATCATAATCACATTGAAACGAGGTATTATAACATGTTATATTGCCGAATAACTGACTACCAAAAACAAACTTTTGTTTCAACATAAATAGATGTTCAATTGTGTCTTGAAATGTCGAATTTGATATAAATGTATATTCACACGATAGACAAATTTGCCGGGCCTACTACATTCACATAGAGTTTCATTTGCATATGCTTCATTTCTAGATAGTTAAACAAGGACATAAACCAGCTACTTTCGTCGCACAGTTAGAGTGATGCGGTACCAACGGAAAGTTTTTTAAAGATTCCCTTTTGAGCACAATAACATTCCACGTCTGACGATGGAAGTACCCCAGGTTGCAAATCGTTAGTTCAGTGAACCTAGGTAAACTATATGTAACTGATGACGCTGATTCTGAATATGCTGTCCTTAGACTTTTGTTGACCGGTTTCCTGAAAACTGGGTCTTTGAAAAACCATGGATTAAATCCATATAATTTTTCTGGTTCGACCATTTTGTAGAGGACAAAAATCAGTCTGTGTTTCATAAGATTTAGGTTTTCAAAACAAAAATCAACAGCGTAAGGAAATTTATCGAAAGAGTAGCTGTTCTGGTTTTACTGGAAAAATGTTATAGTAGAATACTTTGCAAAAATCATAGAAATATTAAATCATATTTAGAAAAACTATTGAACATAGACAGTTTCGTGTGAAAGTCAACTGGATCATAACTACTTGGCTCTGAAATTTCGAAATCAACTAAGTCAGATCGCAATGTGAAAAACCAGAGTTGACAGATATGAAGTATATCCTATTATTATCAAAGAAATCAAAACTAATAGTTAAGAAACAAAACTTTACCCAGAGACAAAAAATAGTTAATAAGAAAGGATTAGTAAACCAACAAGAGGAAAAGCTAGACTTACGCGGAAAGGCCACCAAGTGTTCTCTCGCTTCTGAGCTGAGACTCAGTTGAACGGGGGTAATCGAGCATGCTGATTCCGAATTTCATAATGGCTAATTTTGACTTTAAAGTCACGGGTTTTCAAGCTGAAAAACCATTGGCGCTAAAAATTTCCTTGATCGGTCCAATTGCTAGGGCACGTTTTTGACGTAGAAAACTCGCTCAGAACCTCTCATGAAACCTTTAAAAGTGGTTTTCTGTAGGTTTCGCTACGTGCTCTATCAATTGGACAGATCAAAAACATTTTTAGCGCAAATAGTTTTTCAGCTTGAAAACCCGAGACTTTAAAGTCAAAATTAGCCCAAACCATTATGAAATTCGGAATCAGCATGCTCGATTACCCCCGTTCAACTGAGTCTCAGCTCAAAAGCGAGGGAATACTTGGTGGCCTTTCCTCGTTAGTTGTTTAACATTGTTATTAGCATGATTTTGTAGCCACAAGTCTGATAGTGATAAAAGCTATTTTACCATAGATACAACTTATTATCAAATGCAAAATGACGCAATATC